GGAATCTGGGGGTCAAAGGTCACATCAGGAGATTCTTGGATGAGGGATGGGGTTAAGAATTCCAAAGGGATTTAGAATTCCAGAGGAAAAGTGGGAATCTGGGGGTCAAAGGTCACATCAGGAGATTCTTGGATGAGGGATGGGGTTAAGAATTCCAAAGGGATTCAGAATTCCAGAGGAAAAGTGGGAATCTGGGGGTCAAAGGGCTCAATGGGAGATTCTGGGAGGGGTTAAATCCCAAAAGGAGTCAGAATTCCAGAGGAAAAGTGGGAATCTGGGGGAGAAGGGTCTGATCAGGAGATTCTGGGATGAGGGACGGGGATAAGAATTCCAAAGGGATTCAGAATTCCAGAGGAAATATGGGAATCTGGGGGTCAAAGGTCACATCAGGAGATTCTGGGATGAGGGATGGAATTAAATTCCAAAGGGATTCAGAATTCCAGAGGAAAAGTGGGAATGTGGGGGTCAAAGGTCTCATCAGGAGATTCTGGGATGGGATAAATCCCGAAGGGATTCGGAATTCCAGAGGAAAAGTGGGAATCTGAAGGAGAAGGGTCTGATCAGGAGATTCTGAGATGAGGGACGGGGTTAAGAATTCCAAGGGGATTCAGAATTCCAGGGAAAAAGGACCCTCTGACCTTGGGAATCATCAGAGGACTGTGGGATGAGGGAGAGGACTGAATTCCAAAGGGATTCAGAATTCCAGGGAAAAGTGGGAATGTGGAGGAGAAGGGTCTGATCAGGAGATTCTGGGATGGGATAAATCCTAAAGGGATTCAGAATTCCAGAGGAAATGTGGGAATCTGGGGGTCAAAGGTCTCATCAGGAGAGTCTGGGATGGGATAAATCCCAAAGGGATTCAGAATTCCAGGGAAAAAGGACCCTTGGACCTTGGGAATCATCAGAGGACTGTGGGATGAGGGAGAGGACTGAATTCCAAAGGGATTCAGAATTCCAGAGGAAAAGTGGGAATCTGGGGGTCAAAGGTCTCATCAGGAGAGTCTGGGATGGGATAAATCCTAAAGGGATTCAGAATTCCAGGGAAAAGTGGGAATCTGGAGGTCAAAGGCCTCATCAGGAGAGTCTGGGATGGGATAAATCCAGAGGGGATTCAGAATTCCAGAGGAAAAATGGGAATCTGGGGGTCAAAGGTCTCATCAGGAGAGTCTGGGATGGGATAAATCCCAAAGGAATTCAGAATTCCAGGGAAAAAGGACCCTTGGACCTTGGGAATCATCAGAGGACTGGGGGATGAGGGATGGGGTTAAATCCCAAGGGGATTCACAATTCCAGGGAAAAGTGGGAATGTGGAGGAGGAGTCTCATCAGGAGATTCTGGGATGAGGGACGGGGTTAAGAATTCCAAGGGGATTCAGAATTCCAGGGAAAAGCGGGAATGTGGAGGAGAGGGGTCTCATCAGGAGATTCTGGGGTGAGGGACGGGGTTAAGAATTCCAAGGGAATTCAGAATTCCAGGGAAAAAGGACCCTCGGACCTTGGGAATCATCAGAGGACTGTGGGATGAGGGATGGGGTTAAATCCCAAGGGGATTCAGAATTCCAGGGAAAAGTGGGAATGTGGTGGTGAAGACTCTCATCAGGAGATTCTGGGATGAGGGACGGGGTTAAGTATTCCAAGGGAATTCAGAATTCCAGGGAAAAAGGACCCTCTGACCTTGGGAATCGTCACGGGATTGTGGGATGGGGGAGAGGATTGAATCCCGAGGGGATTCAGAATTCCAGGGAAAAG